GGGCATGTCAAAACTTTTCCAGGCCCCAAAACACCCTCGGACCCCAGAGGGTTAACGCTGTGAATATCATCAGTTTGTGAACAAGAGACAGAATGATAGATAGATAGAATGATAGATAGATAGATAGATAGATATGTGTACATGAATGTGTCTAATCTGTTGCTGTGTGATTGTCATGCAGCTGGAGATGCGCTCTCAGGATCGTCAGCTGGCTCAGACTCTGCTGGGACTCAATAAGGAGATTCAGAGGCTCAGACGGGAGAACGGATCTCTGCTCCTGGACGCTGACAGTGCTGACCACCTGTGACCCCATAGAGCAGAGCAGGGCTTAATGAGAGAACAATGCACTGGCGAGCAGATGCGTGTATAGGAGTGGAAATAAACTTGTTTGTGACAGAAATAACTCTCCTCTCCTGGAGAGCACTTTGCTGGCACTTTGTGAAAACTTGACCAAATATCAGTCAAACTGGGTGATGAGATTTGTACTCAAAACTACATATACCACCCTTTACGCCTGGCATTAACATACAATTTTTGGTGATCGAATCACGATTGGAAAGCACTTGACCACAGGAGTAAATGCACCCAAGACACATTGCAGTCAGATCACTAAAAACCATATCGATCTAGGATGGATTCTGACCCGACATTATCAGATTTATATGTTATGATCACACTGGAGATGCACTGGAATGATGGTGTAAATGCAATGCAGCTAAAAGTATCCTATTAATAATATAGGCTATATATAATACTATTCGGATACAAAACACATGTTAATACCAGATGTAAAGGGCACTAGCCTTAAGAAGGCTAATTGAGACTTATTTTATAAGTATGCTTTGCATAGATAGAATTTCTATGAATAATTTGTCTATAGAAGATGTAGTGCATATATATTCTTCCTATTACTGAGATTGTGACCATTTGCTGTATGACTGAAAAAAAGTGTTGATGATTGTTCAGCTTTGAACATATGGAATAATTAGTACAGTATACGCAATGGGTGCATAAAGCATGTCAACATCTGTTTTTTGAAAATGTCTTGATGATTTAAACTCCTTATTGCATCATGAAATAATTACTTTCAACATTGATCAGGTTTATAGGTTTTTATTATCATACTTGTGGTACTAGTATGATAGTAAGTATGATGTCAAAGCATGTCATAGCATATCATTAGTTTTTTTATATTTGTCCCAGAAAAATTCAATATTCAGTGAATATATGTTCACATCTTGATCAAAAAGAAAAGAAAAGAAAAGAAAAAAAAGAAAAGAAAAATTCTAATTTTCCATGCCATGACTCTCATAATACAATAGAATGGAGTTGTTCATTGTTCAACTTTCAAAACAATAAATTTCTGGTAACTTGCTGTCAGTGTCATAAAAACGTCACACAACACTTATGCACTTAGTTTGAAGAGGCACTTCAGTTTTGAGAAATGAAAGAAAATACATTTACAGATATATAAGAGCTGTTTATGTAAAACAAACTTCCTTAGTGCATTCTAATGTATCTCTATTAATGCATTCAGGTAGAATAGCAGTCTATCACCAAAGACTTTGTCAAGTTTCTCACAGTGTAAAACATTTTACTTTTTCGCTTTAGTATGTTCTGAACATAAGGCAGTTACTCGGCTTGTTTTTAATACAGAGTCCAATTAGACATTATGAAATTTCTCACATAAGGAATTCATAATTTGTTCTTCTGTGAGACGCAACACTAATATAACATGCATACTGGAACTTGGTGTATTAATCAAGCACATGTGATCTGAACTGGAGGTTTCAGGGCACAGAGCTGCGTCTACTAAAGGCCCGCTTGGGCAGGTAGGCTGCAAGAGGAGCAGGGCTCATACATGTGCTAAAGGAGTAGATGGAAGGGTAAAAGCTCATTTCTCCTGAGAAGGAGGACATACTGCTCCCCCCACCCTCACTCCCAGAGTCCCAACAAGGTTCCTCCTCCTCCTCCTCTTCCTCTTCTTCTATGGCTTTTGCACACTCCTGCTTCAGTTCCTGAATGCCGTCATGGAGATCCATCAGCTGGCGAATCAAAGCTTGGTCCTGAGAGCGCATCTCCATCTACAAAGCAGAGGAATGTTTTTTACTTATCCTTTTATTCAATTATTTTTGAGTACATCGAAGTCAATAAACTTTCTAACAGTATTTTTGTGTAAGCAAAGATATGCTCATCATTCAATACTGAAGAATTAATAAAAACTGCTGTTTAAAGTGTTTAAAAAAAACAACCCAACTTAACACAGTTACACTCTGCAGAAAGTGTTACTTTAAGGAGTTAGTTATATCTGACTCTTAAAATATATTACCAGTAAAAATATTTTAGAATTATTCAACCTGACTGCATTTATTCTTATTAAATGGTTTGAATATAAGTTGGCAAGGAAGTCAAAACTGAATGTTGGGCGGTGTTTTGTTGACAGAAGTAGGCTAAAGTAGGCGTACAAAAGTTATTAACCACAAAAGTTAGGCTACATCAAGGCGAAGTTAAGATGCGGTTACGTTTATCGTTGTTCAGATTTCTCAGATCGCGTATTCAGAGCTCAAAGCTCTCAGAGCTCAAATTTCGCTCGTGTTCAAGTTAGTCTCTCCGGTTCGCCGCGTTGACCAACAGAAAGCTGCTTGATTTGAAAGTAACTTCTGTGCGAGCGGTGCTTCATGCACCCCAACAATGGTGACAATTTAAAGGACCCTTTTTGCCCGCGAAATCTCACCGAAACTACACAGTAAAGTCGCGTTCGGGAGGTTAGCCTACCATAGCAGCAATAGGCTACGGGAGAAACCGACAAAACTTTCTAAATCCGTATTATAAATTGAAATATCACAAATAGCCTATAATCAACTAAAAGCCTTAGTCTTGTGTTAAAAAAGCCTTTAAGATAGTTGACGACAACCTAATGAATCTACATACGAGCCTAAAAACTGACAAAAATTTACAGACCCCTCACCTATAAAGCTGAGGTAGGCTAAGTCCTATACAACCTTAGCCTATACAAATCATAAATCATCAAAATCTTTTTTTTATTTTTTTAAAACTGTTTTAAGAACAATTATATTGACTTCAATTTACATTTTGCTCTTTATCCAGAACATCTTTCTAAAAGACCAGAACAAACATTAGGCTAATTCAGAAGTGGACATTCGACCGAGACTGCCTTGCTTTCAGTTGTTGAAGCCCTAAGACTGGCAAGAGCGGCTTCCAAATCTTCTATACTTATTTTGCTGGATCTGTCTGCTGCTTTTGATACGGTGAACCACCAGATTCTCCTGTCAACCCTATTAGAAAATGGCATCTCAGGAACCGCACGCCAGTGGTTTGAGTTTGAGTCTTATCTCTCAGATAGGTACAAATAATGGAACCTACTTTGAAATATTTAATCAAAGAAAATTAAGGAGAAAAGAACTTTGTTGGGAGCAGGTGAAATCCTTCCTGGGCACTGAACCCCTTCCGCTGAACTGCTCCTGAAGAAGATTCAACAGTATGTTTGCTTGAGTGTGTTTACGTGTTTTTCTCTGTTTCATTGAAGCGCATTTAATGGAACTCAATTTAAACCTGATTTCTTACAGGAGGGAACACAAAACAACACTATTTATGTGGGCAGCTGAGTGAACTGGCATAAATGCTGACTGGAAGTGAACACTGGAATTGTAGGAGTCATTAGGACTGTGTTAAGGCTGGAAAAGAACAATATATGAATGCTGGGAAAGCAAGGTGCTCGTCTGTTTCATTGTACAGAGCAGAATATAAAATGTAGAATTACAAGTAGTGGCCTAACTGACCTGAATTCACCCGAGTGAATTCACCCGGGTGATTCACTCCAGAATGAATTTTTAAACAACCATATATTCATTCTTATCAAAGAACAATATGTTTTCTTAAGAGTTCAGTGACATTTAGTCATAAAACTGTTCCAAATCAATTACAGTTAAAATGTCACTAAAGTAATTGTGACAAGAACAATAAACATTGTTCATGATTTAGATTTGAAGTCACAGAAGTACAGTGGGTGTAGAAAACAATCACATCCATTTAAAATAATCACATTTTGTTGCTTTGCAACCTGAAATGAAGACGGACACAGTTTTTGTTTTATCTAGCTGTATTTACTCAGTGCAACTTATAACATCCAAGTGAAAGCTCTAACACCAACATGACAGAAAAAATAAAAAATCCTTCCCGAAACTGCTTCAAAGTTGCTGTAGGCATCTTGGTCGCCTCTCTGACCAGTTTCCTCCTGGCTCTTTCATCCAGTTTGGAGCAACGTCCTGATCCAGGGAGGGTCTGTGTTGTACCAAATACCTTACATTTCTTAATAATAGACTTTATTGTGCTTCTAGGCATTGATAACACCTTTGAAATATTATTTGTATCCATCTCCCAACTTGTGCCTGTCCATAACTTTATCCCAGAGATCTTTTGACAGTGCCTTGCCACCCATAGTGGACTGTTTGCTTCAGTTGCACTACCAAGGACTGAAATGCTCCAGGAAAGCTCTTTTCATGCTGAGCTAATCAAAATGACCACAGCTGATCACAGTTGAAAGTCAAATGGCTTTGTGTGCCATTGAGAAGGTGATTAGTTACTCCTGATTGAGTTTACAAGTCATTTTAAGGTGATTCTGGTTCTCAGCGATTCTGGGTTTTAAAATTTTTTTTCTGACATGTTGGTGTTATATCTTTCACTTGGATGTTATAAATACTGGATAAAACAAAAACTGTGTCTGCCTTCATTTCAGGCTGCAAAGCAAGAAAATTTGATTATTTTAAAGGGGGTGCTTATTTTCTATACCCACTGTACTGATGTGATGAATATAGACCAGTAAGACATAATATTAGCTCCTCTTACAGGGTTTCTGTGGTGTCTTTTGTGAAAGGTTGCCATGACATGCCATGAGTACAGAGGCTGTAAATGCCAAGCAATAAATTTACTGAGAATGGGCCTGCTTAGTATTTAACCCCCGGGATGTTGTAAGGGTCACAACATGAATGTTAATGACAAGATGGTCGTAATTTTTTACTCATGAGGAGTAACATTTAAAAAAAACGCAAGCTGACATTTGATTTTACTCGAGTTTGAAACAACATGACCTATGTCTACATCAATAGACATTCATGAAATGCTTAGACCACCCAGGAGACCCACTATACACAAGGAGAAGGTAAAATATACAAAAAAATAAATGAATACAAATTATACATCTATTATATTATAAGTCTCTTATGCTCTCCAATTAAGGCTGCATATACATGATCAAAAATACAGTAAAACAGTAATATTGTGAAATATTATTACAATTTAAAATAACCTTTTTCTATTTTAATATATTTTAAAATGTAGTTTATTCCTGTGGTGGCAAATCTGAATTTTCAGCAGTCATTACTTCGGTCTTCAGTGTCACATGATCCTTCACAAATTTGAATATGCTGATTTGAGCTCAAGAAACTTTTCTTATTATTATCAATGTTGAGAGCAGTTGTGCTGCTTAATATTTTTTGCGGAATTCTTTGATGAATAGAAAGTAAAAAAAAAAAAGCATTTATTTGAAATTGAAGTCCTTGGAAATATTATACAATAATTATTTTTACTGTCAATTTTGATCAGTTTAATGCATCCTTAGGGCTGCATGATTATGACAAAATTCATAATTGTCGATTATTTCCTTGAAATTGTTATTGCGATTATTACACATCATATAATCACAATTCACATTGAATGATTTTTATAACATTGTTTGAAGCAACCACATGCCATATTTTTAGATGAAAATAAACAAGCTGAAAACACTGATAAACTTTTATTGCTTTTCTATAGTATTAAGCCTCAAATGTGAACTATACATTGAATTGGTTTCTTCTTTAAATAAAAAAAGTAAAAATATGCATGGTTTTATAATGTTATACTAAAACTAAAATAAATAAAAAAATGAAAACAAATTCATGCAGAATAACATAAGTGGACTTTTACAATTAATTGCCGCTTTGAAACATTACGTAATTGTGGCATCCGTATGATTAGAAATTTGATTAATTGTGCAGCCCTAACCCTTGCTGAACAAAATTATTAATTAAAAAAAAATCTTACTGACCCCACACTTTGGAACTATAATTTATATGTAGAAATGTATTTTATCATTATAATATAATAATTATTTAATATTAAATAATTAATCTGTCAAAATATAAGACAATAAAATTAGTGTTTGAATTTATAAGAATTTATAAGTTAAGATGTGTAAAAAGCTAAAGATTAATCATAGATTATTCTTCATATGAAAGAGGTTGAAAACAAAAACTCTATTGCAAAATATGACAAAAAGAACTAAATAAAAAGTAAGACTTACACCAGATAAAATAATTATAATATTACATTATAATACAGATAATAATTTTTGATATCTTCCTAAAGTTGGTTTTCCTAAAAATCCACCGGCCCCTGGGATCTATGCCCTTGCTGAGGGCAAAATGTTATCATGGGAAAACAAAATTGCCTCATATTTGTGTCCAAATGACTGATAATGTAGTAAACTGTACTAAATGAAATCTTACCAGCTCCTTCCTCAACCAGGCCAGTGCAGTCTCAATGTCCAGCCGGCCTGCATCCCCCTCTCCAGCCATACACTTCCCTCTGCGCACCTCCTGTGAAGAGGAATGATCCCTGCACATTACTGCTGCTTTACAGCGATCAAACGAAGTTTCTTTACAGGAGAAATCTCTCAGTCTGGTAAGAACGACTTCCATTGTTTCTAGAAGTGCTGATGAGGTGCAGAGAGCTCTCTGTTCTTCTTGTCAGCTGTAGATTCAGCTCTGTCACTGAAACACAACTCTATGTTTTATCTCTCTGTTACGCTGTCCACCACTGGTGAGTCCGTTCTGGGATGGATACTTAAAACACCCCCTCCCTTCACCCCCTGCTACGCCATAAACACGCGCACACTCTGATTTTACATGCGACATAAGTCTGTTTATGTGCAAGGGAGTGACATAGAGAGACTGACGTCAGACTCGCCTGTAGTGTTTCTGATTTGCTATGAGCTTTGTAAATGTTCAATGCAGTTGAATAGATGACGTGTGAATATGGAGTTGCTATGGCTTCACGGGAAGTGCTAGTGAAGCCTGCTGGAGTCTATGGAATGTCCTTGGCAGTATCAGGATGGTAAATAGCAAGTGGACCTCTGCGGACTGAATAGATCACAAATTACATTTGTCAGGCCATAGCCTTTGATTTTGATCCCATGCAGATATTATTATTAACTAATATCTTTTCTTCTTACAATAGCCAATGTTTATCCTCAAAGTATGGATCTAAAGTCAATGGTTGTGAACCGCTGACGAACATGAGCGCCCAGGCAGCCATGAGGAGCCGCATGCTGTCATGTCCTCTCTGCGTTTCCCAAGCAACCTGCACAAATAAGCAATACATCCCAACTCGGGACAAAAACAGTGGACACAATTGAGGCTATATTTAAACCCAATAGATCAAACCAACAAAGTCTTTGAGGTTACAGACATTCAAAGAGACAGAATGGGACCAACTTCTCTTCATCCATGAAAAGAGAGTCTAGCCTTTCGGTTTTCTTTCAGAATCTCTGCCATGCATGACTCACCAGACTTAAACTCTAGTGTCCTACAAAATGTTTAGCCAGTTTGATAAAATTACCTACATCAAAACATAGTGTGCATGCGGTTAATTCCCATGCAAAAGCATTGGGAAGTAATATTAATGTAATGTAACAATAAATGCAGTCCTTACAAGATCAGTTATTGGATATAAGAACCAGCCTGATTGGCTCTTGGAAGCTATACCACCCTCTTGTGGTAAAAAAATAAAAAATACATATAAACTCCCAACTGCCTCAAATGATTCCTCAAATTCTGACTTTTAAATTTAATTTCATTATTATCAAATAATATCATTAAAACATTATTACTTTGTAACAATACATTTATTAATTTATTATTAATCATATTTGAACATTTCCAACAGTATTTAACATAAATATAAAATGATAAAAAAATGCACAAAAATGTATATATATATATGTGTGTGTGTGTGTGTGTGTATGTATATATATATATATATATATATATATGTGCTCTCTCTTTCTCTATATATTTCATATTATATTTGTGAATTTCATGTCTGGTCATATATTCCTCATTATAAAAACACAAAGTGCACATCTAATCTAATCTCAAATAATTAAACCTTAAACAGTCACAAAAACAAAAAAACAGGTATTGATAATAAAAGAAACACTTGTTTATTAGACAGCACAAGTGCATGGTAGCATAAATGCATGGTCTGGGAAAAGGACAAAATTTACAATAAAAATGCTTAGAAACAAACAATAAATGGAAGGCTTGTCACTAGGCAGTTGTGGGATTGGAGCTGACTGCCACTGCCGCTTCCTCTCCCCCAGCAGGTCTTCGCTTCCTATGTCTATTCCGCTTCTTTTTCTCTCCGTCTGTCTTTTTGGGCTGCTGAGGCATGGGTTTATTCTCTTATTCTGGATTTCCTCTTACGTTTTTTGCCTCTCTTGTCATTACTGTCTTTGCTGAGGCCCTCCTTCTTCTTTCAGACTCTGGATGCTTAACTGTTGTGACGGGCTCACTAACTCACCCAGCTGAACCGCTTCAACATGCTTCAGTGAACGTTCAGAGGGCTTGTCTAACACCATGGTGTTGAGGATAATGTAGAGCAGAGGAACCCCAGGGATCTTCTTCAGGGCCGTCGTCAACTCTTGATCCTGGTAAGAAGGATCATTGTGTTATTTTTTTTTTATTTATTTGACTAAATTACATTTTTGTCCAGTTATAGAGTCCTTACCTGAGTTGCAATGAAGTAGTGGTGTGGATTTGTCTCCCCAATCATTGACAACAAACACTCTGATGCAGGAACTGGATCTTTCATGTGTTTGCATTTCCTGATCTGAAATCTCTGTAAGATGAGTTTTGCTCCATAGAGGTCTTTTGCCATACCAGCTTGTCTGTCACGCGACTCTGTTCCCCTTTCGGGCTCTTTACATTTATTTTGAAAGATGAAGAAGATGAAGCTGGTAAGGGGCGTTACATTTCCGACGAGTGCTTGCGGTGTTCGGCCAATCACAATGCACTGGATCAGCTGGCCAATCAGAGCAGACT